GGAGGTTTGTCACTGCCTTCCCCTGAGGCTGAGAGCATGTGATTTGCCTAAGGTCACTTAATGGGTCTCATGGCTGAGCAAGGAATCGAACCCTGGTCTCCAGAGTCACAATCCAACACTGAAACACTGTACCACACTGCTACCACCTCTCTTTTAGGAGGTTTCCTGACTTACAGCCTTTCAGTCAATGTCAGCTGAAACAACCAGTGGAACAAGTTGAGATACACCTGATAGCTCACTCTTTTATGTTCTCTGTTCTGCCTGTCCCATCCTGGCATGAGATTGTTTTAAAGCCAAAATAAACATACTTGATATAGTAGTCACTATCAAATCTTATACTTCTTTAATGAGTGTGTACATTTGTGTGTATTCTGTAGCACATAAATATGACACAGAATTGCTTTGTTCTTACTTACAGTCACTGGCTGTAGATAGTATTTGTTTGTCTCCATGTAAGCATATGGCAGTGATCTGTTTTATAAAAGATCCTGTGATAACAGAAACCTTTTCTCCAGAATTGTCAACCTAGATCAGTTTTCCTCCGTGTGGGTCCTTTTAGATGTTTGAAACCACAACTCGCACAGTTCCTGACTATTTGCCATTCTGACTGGGGCTGATGGAGGTAGTAGTCTAAATCATTTGGAGGACATCTAGTTGGGAAGGTCTGACCTGGGTTTCTACTGAAGTCAGAGAAAACTTGGTAATTTTGCAGTAGCTGTTTGGCAGGGACCACAGATATGGCTTTAGAGAACGCAGGACTTGCATTATATTGGATTATATATGTTAGGCAAAGGGCAGCCCTACATGGACATTCATTATATATGGTTCCAAAGAACTTTGATAAAAACATCCCAGAATGGTTCAAATTCAGACCAATAGTAGGGAGTTAAGGATGGGAAGCTGGAGCAAGACAGCCCCTCGGGAGCCTTGGGGGGCAACAGCCAGCAGGCAGGAGGAAGCCCTGCCTGTCCAGCTTGTGGGACCCACATTGAGATCACCAACCCCCACAGGACCCCAGGTTGCTGAGAGAAGCAGGGGAAATAGGATTCAGGTAAGAGACCAGCAGATAGCCTGGAGTCATGTGGAGGAGTGGTCCTCTAGGGACGAGGGCACAGTACGCTGGTCTTTGAACGAGGAAGACGACGCAAAGACGGAGGGTTGGCTATGGAAAGAAGACATAGAGCAGCTTTGGGGAAAGGTTTAACTGTGGAGGCACACATGGGAATGGCCTGTTGGAAATGAGGACACGGTGGATGGGTCCTTGGAGGATGAGGACAACGTGGCAACGGAGGCTTGATTTAGGGAAGAAATCCAGAAATACCCTCTGACTGACATGGAGATCTATGAGTGGCGCAGGGTCCCAGTGCTAAACAGAAACCCACCAATGGCACAGAAGCATGGAGCCATGGAGTCCTTGGAGGACAAGGATAGAGAAGACTGGTCCTCCTCGAAGGAGCACGACATGGGGATGGAGGACTGGCTGAGGAAGGAGGCCCAGTCAAAACCGGGGAGTGCCAGGGAGGAGGACGCGTGTTTCCAGAGCCTGATGTAAAAGCCAGCAGTGCCCCAAGAATCCCTGAGATGCCAATGCAGGCATGAAGAACAGAAACAGTCTGTGGGGAGAAGACCCACATGAGGAGTGGGATGACACCCTGGAAGATGCCAGTAAATGGGTGCTTAGAGGTGATGTGGTGCCCATATGATCTACAAAGAAAGACTTTACAACACCCCCAGAGACAATGGAAGACAAAGGGTGGATGTGGGCATATAGGACAAAGGGGAGACAGGCAGCACAGCAGTGGAGAGTCCAAATACTCTGGAGAAGGGGCCCAGAGAGATTACGTGGCCTGAGGGCGAGGACTGAGCTCTTGATCCTACTGCCCAGGTTGGGAAAGAGAACACAGTGGTGCCAAACATGGCTTATAGAACGCACGGCACGTGACCACCTGAGGAAAATGTCGGGAGGGTTGAGAAGACTAGCAAAGAAGCGGTCAACCCACCAGACAATGGAGAGTTCAGGTAAGCAGTAGGTCCACAGCAGGGGTGGAGAAATAAAATACCCCAAGCACCAATGGCACCCCTGCAGCTGTTGCAACTAGCCTGGCCCCAAGTGGGAGTGGTGGCTCCCCCAACAGCAGACACCCTCACAACCCCGGCCTTGCTACCCCAAAACTTAGCATTGCAGTCGCCGGAGAGAAGGGGACTCCAAATGAGAACACCAGGGGGCTGTCAACAGGAGAAAACCCAAATGGAGGCATGAAAAGCCAGGGCGCCCAGCCCACTCAACAGAGTGAACAAACGAGGAGTGGGGACAAACCAGCCTAAAACAACCAACATGAGAGGAATAGGAAAAGAACAGGCTT